CCGCGCTGCCTCCGGACCTCGGGTCGGGGGAGCCAGGCCGGCCCGACCCGGCGGAGCCTTGGGAAGCCTTGCGGAGCCTCGCGCAGCCGATGGACACTTTGCGGCGGCCACGCAACCCGAACGACAAAGACGACGACCCATCGACCAGACGGTGAACGCCGCGGCCACGCCGCCACGCCGCCACGCCGGGCAGGCCGAGGGTCGAGGCCGCGCTCAGCTCAAGGCGTCGCAGTGCGTTCCCTGAGTAAGGTGGAATGGTTTTCACTCAAGATTGATGAATAGCGCAAGGGGGGGGGGGCAGAAGGGGATGGGGAGGTTGAGCTTCTGGGTCGCCGGTCTGATTGAGATGACTAGGGTGCCAGCAGGGCGGGGCGGTAGGGCGGGGTGGCTAGGCGAGGTGAGGCACCCAGGCTGACCAGGCGAGCTGGCAGGCAAGCTGGCAGGCAAGCTGGCAGGCAAGCTGGCAGGCAAGCTGGCAGGCAAGCTGGCAGGCAAGCTGGCAGGCAAGCTGGCAGGCAAGCTGGCAGGCAAGCTGGCAGGCAAGCTGGCAGGCCGTGCTAACGCCGCCGTTTGGGTGCTGTTCGGCGTTTGCGGGTTGAACGACGAACAAAGTGGCGGTTGTCCTTCCTTTTCCCCGCACTGCCGGCACTGCCCCTCCCCGCTGGCCCGCTCCGCACTGACCCTCCCTGCCCCGCCAGTCCCTTCCTCACGGCATCGTTCGCGAACGTCCTTGGCCTGCGGGCCCCGGCCGCCCCCCGCACCCATGCCCCCTCCCCCCCGGAGTCGCGCCTTCCGCACCTCCTACCCCTCTCACCCCCTGGTTCCATGCCATCATTTCTCTTCCTCATCCCCCCCTCCCCCGCCACTTCCCCTGTCCTGTTGCTTTGCTCGTATGTTTCACCCTCCACAAAGCCACAGCCAGCTTTCCAAATGGAAATCCGCAATCCGCGAAGATTGGCCAATAGCAGCCCATCTACGGCATCTACGACACCATGCGACGCGCCTTCGTCCAGCTTCGCCTGAGTGCAGTGCAGACCGCGCGGGGAGGGCGGTGAGAGTGGGTGCGGGTGGTGCGGGCTTGGAGCCCCGCCGGCGGCAACCGCGCGCTCTCCCTCATTTTAAAATCACAAAAATATTCCCGCGCCTTAATGATTTTGCACGATGGTGGGGGTTGAACCTCCGCCCCACCAGCTCCTCATTGACCGTGTCTCACTTTCACCCTTGTCGATAACCAAACCTTCGTCCAGCCATCGCTGAGTTTCATCCTATTTTTTCCCTTTTCCATTTTTTTCCTGTTTTGCTCATGCCTTCCCTCCCCGCCCCCATTCCAGTGCGCCCCCTCCCCCTTCCCCGGGTCTACGCCCCACCCCTAAACACCCGAAACCCACCCCTCCCCTCCGCACCCCTCCCCGCCCCTTTGACAGCTCGGGCAGAGCGCTGTTCGTTGTACCCCACCGCCGCCCGCGCCGCCCGCGCCGCCGCCGCCCGCCCGGCCGTCTGTGTGTCTGTGCCCTTTGTGTCTGCCCGTCAGTTTATCTCTGTCCTCCCTGTGATGTTCTCTGTTCTCTCCCTCCAACTCCTCTCCAATACTGTTCCCTCTCTTCCCCCTCTGCCTGCCTGCGCCCCCTGGGGCTTTGCCTACTCCCGACGCATACCAGCCGCCACCCCGGAGCGCCCGGCGGGTTAGGCACCCCGCCCGGCGGAGGTGCATCGCCCGCGCGGTGGTTGCCTACCCGCCGGGCGGCGTCCAGCCTGCGAACCGCCGGGTAGGCAACCCGCCCGCCAGCAGTGCATCGCCGCGCGGTGGTTGCCTACCCGGCGGGCGTCCGGCCGGCCAGAGCAATCGGTAGACAAGCCGCGTCGCCTGCCTGCCGCTGCAGGCCGATTCCGAACATCGCTTTCGTCGCTCTGTCTCTCTCGCACTCATCAAGGGTTGCGTATCGGAGCGAGAGAGACGGACCGACGAAGAAACTGCCCTTCGGAAATGAGGCGACTGGGCCGGAGGGCTGAGAGCGAGTCGGGTTCCTTGCCGCCTAGCCGCTCGACGCGCTTTCCGGCGGTTTACCCGCGTGTGCAGTGTGCCCCGCACCTTGCGCGTTCGCACCGGCTTGCCTTCGTTCTTCGGGTCGGCGGCAGGCCGAGAGGCCGGGGCGGGCCGGGGCGGGCCGGGGCGGGCCGGGGCCATAAACGGATCAAGACTGAGGGAGACAGCACTAAGTTTTGTCGGCGCACGAAGAGGAAAAGAGGGACGTGGCAGCGACCAGCGCGGTCCCCGCAGAGCTCGTGGTGCATCACTCCAGCCGGCTGCCGCGACGCCGCGATGGCCGCGATACCGAGGAGGTAGCTCGAAGGTGGCGGGAGGTAGGAGCCGCCGGAAAGGGGTGGGGTTCAACGAGGTCCCAAAGCACGCGCCAATAGTGGGAGCGGACCCGGTGATGTGCGGTGCGGAGCGCGGAGTAGTCGGAACATGTTGGTACTTCCACCTGGCGGCCAAATCGCCGACCCGCGGCCCGGTGCAGCGCCTCCAGCCTGCAGCAAGGCTTCCATCATGCTTCCATCCTTCCAGTCTGGGTGTGCGTCACCCTAGGCCCTCCGTCACCCTGGCTGGCTCGCGTCCTGGTTGACCGGTGCCCGGCGTCTGGCCCGTGCCGTGCTCGAGGGCCGTTCGTCACCACGCTGGAGCCTGGAGCTGTGGCTGCGGCCTGCGGCCTACCCCGCCCGCCGCGGCGATTCGGACGCCGCCCCGCCCCGCCCCGCCCCGCCCGCCCCGCCCCGCCCTGCTCCGCGCTCCGCCCGGCGGCCCCGGCGGCACGCTTCAATGGCGTGGAGCAGGTCCGTGCAACTGACGTCTCCATTATTTGGTCCAGACGCGGGCACCGCGCCGCGCCGTGCCGCGCCCTGTCCAAAGGCCCCGGTTCAAATGCCTCCTCCTCGAAGCTCGAAGCGGCGGCACACTGTGACGGGGACGGCAAGCACGGCACGGCGCGCAGGGAATGGGTCACCGGCGCAGCGCCCGCCAGCCCGCCACGCGCACTGGACAAGTGGAAATCTCCAGTGTGTTTCTCCAGTGCGGAGGGTGCGGGGGCGGCTGCGGCGGGCCGGCTGCGGGGGCGGCAAGCCAAAGGGGACACGGCGGGGGCGGCGCGGCGGAGGCGCGGGGGCGCAGGGGCGCAGAGGCGGCGGGCTGCGGGGGCCGGCGGCGGGGGTGGCAGGGGGTGCAAGGGTGCGGGGGCAGGATGAAGGGACCAGGGACGCGCTACACCCGCGCACAAATCGATGGGGGCGTCAGCACCGGGTATCCATGGCGTTGCCATGGCAACGGGCCATCCCGATGCAACAATAACACGATGCTACACCGAACGCCACCGATTGGCAAGTCATTAAAAGTAAAAGTCGTTGGTGGATGCGCGGTTGTCCGCGGCGAACGAGTAGAAATGCCGGAGGCCCGGCGCCGGCCCCACGTGGAGGCCCCTGGAGAACCACTGCTGTCGCCATGGCGACCACGGGCTGTGCAACAATGGCATCGTCAGCGAGGCTAGCAAGGCAAGCAACGCTAGCAACGCGCCAATCGGAAATCACCCCCAGAAATATGGCGGAAATGTAACGTGCCCCACTCATTAGGGCACTACGGCATTGTGTATGCATTAGGTGTGGCCGCTAAAGCGTTGACTAGGCCGGGCCTGGCCTGGCCGGCCCCCCAGCATCCCCGCCCCTCCCCTATTGACTCCCCCTGGCCCCTGGCACTGCCTGGGCACTGCCTGGGCACTGCCGGCACCCAGCGCATGAGCATTCTACTCCCTTTTCCACCCTCGGCATGTCGTCTCCCCCTCCCCTCCCCCTCTCTCTTTCCCTCCCTCTCTCTCACTCCCCGACCGCCCGACTCGTTCATTTTTCTCTCCCTCAGTCTTTCGACCTTTTCGTACTTTTTGCCTTTCTCCCACCCGTTTCGACGTCCGCCCCTGGGCCTTCGCAGCCCGGCTATTTTCTCCTCGTTCGTTGGTTCTCCCCCTCCCCTGCCCCCGCCCCTGTCCCGGTCGGCCCGCGCGGTTCGGGAAGGCGGCGCGTCAGGAACCGTCACATCTCTGCGCACCGCACTCATTAAAGTCGAGGGCTTCTTTTCTCTCCCCTTCGTTGTCATCCTCGTCGTCCTCTCGTCGTCGTCTTAGTCGCTGTCGTCATCGTCAACATAGTTATCCATCACCACCGTCGTCGTTGTTGTCGTCGCCGCCGTCGTCGCCTCTTTCTTTCCTTTCTTCTCCTGCTTCTTGTGGGCCTCCACCATGTTGGTCACCGTGTCCATCACCACGACTGACAGGGGGCAAAGTGTCCCGCCCCGCCGCCCCGCCCGTAAAACCGACCAAATTCTGTCGCGGTCGTGCCGCTCTGATTGATTCATAAATAATAATAATCCGATATTCTGCGCGCGCGGCGGGCGAAGCAGGCCAAGTTGACGGCGGTGAAGGACGGCGCGGAGGTCCTTGCGGGCGGCCGGAGAGGGGGAGGGAAGGGGGGGGGGGGGCAGGCGGACGGACGGGCGGGTAAAGGGGTGGGTCTTGTCCTCCTGTACACCCGACTCATGCATATAAATGACGGTTGTTTGAATGTTTCAAAACTCGCGCCATTACGCGGCATGCGGCACGCGGCCCGTCCCGGGGAAGGACGTGTCACTAGTCAGTTTTGGCGGCAGGCCGATTTCGAACAGTGGTTTCGCTACTCCGTCTCCTCCGTCTCCGTCGCACTTGTGGGGCGCTACGGTACGGGTGAGAGAGAGAGAGAGAGAGAGAGAGAGAGAGAGAGAGAGAGAGAGAGAGAGAGAGAGAGAGAGAGAGAGAGAGAGAGAGAGAGAGAGAGAGAGAGCCAGCATGCACTGTGCGATGACGGCCGGCTCGCGTTGTCACCGTCACCCCGCACAGCGCAAACGCCTCTAGCGTCGTCGTAGGCAAAAGGCAAATCTGCAAACAACACCGAGCCGTGCCTGCAGGCCTGGCAACGTCACTCACCTCCTTTCGGATTTCGGAGTGCTCGGCCTCCTCCCGGCCGTCCCGGCCTCGGCCCTCGGCTCGGCAGCTGGCCCAGTTGGCGATAGGCGGCTTGGCGGTCGCGCTGCACCGCCGACTCGCGATGTTTGCTATTATTCCGACGGGGAAGCAGGGAAGTCCCAACGGCAGCGACTGCCTGCGTTGCGGCCGGCGGCCGCGGGCGCACCAGCAGGCCACTTCTGCAGCTGCCGATCTGTCAGCGAGCTAGTCTCTCTTCCTGCTGCATGCAGTGCAGTGCACCGTTACAGTTTCGTTTGACGGCGTTGTCGAGGGACAAGTCCGCAGTCCGCCGCTCGCCGCTGCCACGGACTCGCCAGCTGACGGCTTTCAGTACTTCAGTAATCCCAGGAGGTCGTGTTGTTGCACCTCGACTCGGCTGTTTGGTTTGCGCGTCGCTCGCGGTGCGCGGTACGCGGCGCCCCACTGCCACCACCACACCACGGCGTCGTCCTCCGCGTCGCAGGCCGACCTGCGCCGAACCGCTGCGGAACCGACGAGACGACGGACTCGACGACGGACTCAGAACTGTGCCAAGAGTCGGCGTGGCGGCGTGGCGCGGAGTACGGCGGCACCGCGGCGCAGCGAGCAGGCCAAGCAGGCCCAGCCCCAGGCCCCCGCGAGGGGAACGGTGCGGTGCGGTTGTGTGGCTAGCGCTGCGCTGCGGCGGGGCAAAACGGTCCCTCCCTAGTCCACTCGGACTCGGTGCCGAGCCGAGCGGAGCCGAGGGCAGACCGAGTCGAGCCGAGCCAGGCCTGGCCGGCCGAGCAGCTAGCGAGCTAGCGGCACCGTCGTGATGTTGTGCAGAACTCTGCGTTTCCCCCTGGCCCGACTTCCCCTCCCACCTGCCTCCACGCCAGCCCGCTCTCCCCCCTCCACTGCTGCTCTATTTTGCTTTGACAATTTTCTTTTACTCGCGGATTAGTCTGAAGTGTGTGCAGTACATGCAACAGTGTTACTAAAGAAGAGAAGGCAGTAATTTCAAATCTCTCGATAAAATGAAATTAATGAGTGCGTCTTGTACCACTTCACCAATACAACTAAGGGTCACAATAAGATACAACATTTTACTTTTTTGGGTTGGTTTTATTAATGAATTGGTAGATATAAATCCTTCTTAACAATGACACGTTCCATATATTGTTGTTATCACGAGTGTGTTCACTCTTCTCTACTCACTTTAAGCTTTGACTTACAAGGAAAAAAGAATCACTTAGTTGCTATTCTATCAGTCTGCAGTCTTGTTTTTCCTAAGAGGTAATAAAGAATGGTTGGGACCAAACCCAAATTCTCACGGCGAGAAGTAGAAGCAATGAAAAACACCTTGTCACATATGAACACAGAACTGACAGAAATGATTTAAGGCATCCATTAAATACAGAGGTTCCCTTACAGAAGTCAAACTGGGGAACAGTATTTTCAGGCCCAAAGTGTATCAATTCAATAATATCTTACAGGATACAGCATAAATAAACCGAATGTCGGTTAAAGAGAAATATATCCAAACAGATGACACACTACAAATAACATTTTACAAGTCAATCACCCAAAAAGCCATATACAGATTTTGAAATAAAAACAATAAATTTTTAAGCTGTTTTAGTGACTTGATTATCTTAAAAGAACCAACAAAACACACACATTTCCCCTCCTTAAACATTTAATTTTTAAAAGAAGTACCGAAAAAGTAAAGGAAAAGGAAACAAACTTTCCAAGGGAGTTAATGAATCAGATTTGTAAGCAATGAATGCTATGAATGAATATCACAACATCAAACTGAGCTTGTCAGAATGATTTTACAGAACCAAGTACAAATTTTGAAACCACAAAACACATTCAGCTGGCATATCTAATTAATTTACACCAATTTCTTTGCCTCAAAGAAGCTCTTCAAATGATGGGTCTGCCATGCTCCCATAACTAAAAGAATTGCAGTTTGAATGATAGACCACCACAGAACTCTTGAATTGGTACTTTCACTTGTCATACGGAACCTCTCCTCTCGATACTGTAACAAATATAAAAGGCATGACATTTACAACCCCAAAAAGAATCTGACATTTTAATATTGAAAGTGAAATAAATGGAATGCCCCAGGGCCATATAAAATAAGAGTACTAACCCGTTGGTAATTTTGTTCTTTGGAAATCTGGTCTACTTGATCCAACAGCTGACGAACTCTTAACTGAAGGTCTGACAGTTTTTCCTTCTGAGCAACGTTTGCATAGTCAATAGCATGTTCGCCTACTTGAATATCCAAATGCACCCTCTGAAAATAAACAAAAAATTGAAATTTAGTTTCTTATTCAGAGTAATTTGAAGATATTTTATCCAATTCATTACTGAAACAGCAAATTAGACAACATACCAGTTGTGTTCCACTGAACCACTTAGTACTGTTTGAATACAAACAAATGACATGTTCTCCATGGGTGTGAGAAGTGAAGGACAATCTACCCTCTGAGCTGTAAACCTAAAAACAGACCAAATACAAAATTAACCAAAGGTCAGTTAAAAACATTGTAAGTAAGAAAGGTAAAAAAAAATTACTTACTCGTGACAGCACTACTTTGTCGTCTGGGTCTTTGACTTCCACATGCATGCCAATTCCAGGACTGGATGGCATGAAACCTCCACTGCGTGGATCGTAAAGTTCAACTTTGTAGTTCACTGAAAATAATATCATATGGTTAAACCTTTGAACTTGGTCTTCTTCTTATCTAATAGTAAAACCTTGGCAAATAAAGTGAATTTACTACATTAACAGATGGATCTTTGAATGCAGCTGTTCATTCAACAACAGGTGAGTAGAAGTCCGTATGTTATAAAATTACAGTGAAGTAGATAAAACAATTGGTTTTCGAATATTTTAAACATCAGAGATCTACAGAAAAGCAAGTTACAGAGAAAGTTAAACCATTATATGGTCAAGAGCCAAATGTTAAGGGAGCTGTGTTCAGTGTCTGACAGTCAACAACAAATGAAAAGAACACAAATCAAACGAGAAAAACTAGAAATAAATCTTTAGCTTCGAAACGGTTTTGTTTAAAAATATTAGGGCAGCGATGGCAAAATATAAAAAAAACACCGGCGTGGTTATAGGACGTATGTCATCTGCTGTACTAACCAATAACTGTCGTCTCGTCAGGTATTTCTTCTATGAAGCATTTCCTCTCTGTTTCTCCTATATGAAAGTAAAGTGCAGAACATGATGAAAGGTATAAAATAACTAGAAGAAACGTAGAAATTCCATTGAACGGGGACATAATGAATTACTAAAAGTCGAACAACAAAGTTCGACGTTGACTTTTCACAACACGTCACCGCCAGCACAAGCAGAACGTTGTTGACAAGCTACAAGGCGGTGTGACCCACCACTGGCTACCAACCTATGCCTAGAAAACATGTAGAACTGTTTGTTCTAAAGGAGGACACGTGCTGCTCCTCAGGAAAATAAAATCAAGCTACGACTTTTCATTGCTTGTGTGTTTCCCACGACTCCAATTTTCACTCCTTCAACCGACTTGAACCGCCAATGATGCCCTCCAATGCAGTTGCAACAATCTGGGCTAGCGGTATTTTTGAACATGGTTTTGCACTGAGGGAACGGATTTGCCGTATTCAATCGGGTGTTTGAACCAGCAGGGTTTCCTAGAAGGTGTTTCCACTGCATGTTCGGATTTTACATTCCTTCTGTGGAATAGAACCGGGGCCCCTCGTCTTGTGCACAGAGGTTGCAGTTCTTTACCCAGAGAAAACACACTCCCAAAACTAATTTTGTTAGCTGTTTCTGTTGCTGGCTTGAGGGCGTTCATGATCATCAAAAATTCTGGAACACCTCTATTGCCTAATTAAGGAGGAAGGGGTGGGGGTGCATGTCTTTGAACACTGGATAACAAATAAAAAAATGATTTATTCCTTTTTGTGAAAGAAACAAAGGATTTTATCTTTGATAACACTCAAAACAGACTTTGATTATTACTTCATTGAAGTAAATTTATAAGGTCAACACACAAACATAATTAAAATTTGATATATATACTTGATTGGCCTTGAAAAATACAAGACAGTAATTCACTACTTCAATTGGACTAAACTAAAATTTCATATTAGAAATATTATGGCTTTATCTATAACAACTAAATGTACAATATAAATTTAAGGTAACAAAAATTGAATGCAGATCACAAACTACAATGTTATTAATACATCGAAACAAATTGTAACTTGACAATACAATATTAGTACAAAACTATTAGAACATACATAGTTGTATCTTTGTAAAACTACCTTAAGATATAAAAAAGCGCACAAAAAAATCTAATTTAATAATATTTCAGTCACTCTACACACACTCACAATGAACAAATTAAATAAAAGATTTGTTAAAATTAGCTGTTCCAGATGTCATCTTGCTGTTGCACTGCTAGCCTTCTTTTTTCTGAGGAAAACAAACAAAAATCAAGTGAGCAGTGCAGTCATAGGTAGGGTTTCATAAAGTACTGAGCAAACATCAAAGACCTACCTCGAGCCTCCCGTAAAACCCGTTTTTCCTCTTCTCTCTCGGCTCTCGCAGTAGGAAGCTTCACACCCAGTGCACCAGTGACAAGGCGCCTTGCCAGCGCTGCACACGTTTCGGGGCGTGGGCGGAAGGAATGAATGGATTCAGAGAGGCGTCGGGCTTTCAGGCGAGACTCTAAAGATGCCTCACAGAGGGGTCTCATCCGAACCATGGGATGCTGGTAAGCTAGCACTTGCTCAGCTGTGAACAAGATAAGGTAAATAATAAATTGAACTTTTCATGAATTAGGATCAAAACTATAAAACAAATTTGTATAGAGTACTGACCTACAAGGGCTCCAGCAAATACACCCAAAGCATGGGTATCATCCACCCATTTGATCTCAAAGCCACCAGCCGTGTTCTTGAAAGGTGAGAGTACAGCAACTAAATCGTGAGTCTTAAACTCAGGAGGAAAATTGAAAATTTCAACAACATGGCTGAAGTCATCATCTCCAGCTGATCTTCTTGTCTTCTGTTGATCAGCAGGAACCTGGCTCCTATAGTTGCGATAGTCAGATTTTGGGTGTGCTACTTGGACCTCTCCAACAGCACTTGTCAACTGAAAATTTTAGAATACGGAAAAGAATTAATCAACATCTATTCACTTCACAAATCAAATCTTAACAAAGTAATTTAAAAACAGCTTATTCAATTTCAATACTTAGCAAAAGCCGTACCTCTTTCATTAGGAAAGGGTCCAGAACATCCTCATCCAGCAAATCGTCCCAGTCACATTCATCAGGGTTAAAAACTCGTGCAGCTTTGGTTGGGGAAGCTTGTTTGTTCCCCTCTCCTTTAACAGGTTTCATAAGTTGCACAGGCGCCACATAATTGACAGAGTCACTGGATGAAAGACTTTCACTACTGCCTCCACTGCTTGTGTTTGTAAGTCTACCAGAAAGGTTGGCGTCCCGGAAATCATCATCACTTGATTCAGTGTCTCTTTGTGAAAGCTGTCTGTGATTATTACTTTCAACCATAACAGTTTGAGATGGCTCAGCTTCAATTGAGACATGCTTCGGTAGAATTTTATCACTTTGAGTCCCTTGATAAGGGCTACCGCCTACTTGAACAATATCACATTTTTCTTCCACTTCATTGACTGATCTGGTATTGGTAACTTTAAAATCTATCACAGGTGCAACTCCACTATCACTAATCACTGAACTGCTTCTACTTTTTGAGCGAGAATATTTGTTTTCCACATCAGTAAGAGTAGCAGGCTGCTCAGAGCCCACAGCACTATCTGATGTACGATTAAAGTCTTGATCTGCCTCTTCCTTTGTTTTCCATTGGAAGTCCTCTGTTGGGGAACTTGAATGACACAACATTTTTTTCTTTTCAACAAGAACCTCTGCCCGAGGTGGAAGGTTTTTGGGTTGTGAAGAACTCATGGTGGAGGATAGTCTTTCACTTCCAGAAGAAATACTGCCTCGAATTCCCTCTAAATCCAAGTCACTTGATGTTGACTGGCAGAGCTTCTTCTTAGTTTCCACTAATTGAGATGCTCGAGGAGGGAGACTAATTGTTGGACTCGAGGATCTAGGTTTAGAAGATATTTCATCTTCTATGATCAGAGTCGAGCCGGATGTGTGTCTGTCCTTTTCTGGGGGGCTACGCACAGGACTAGAGAGTCGAGTTGATGATCTATCCCCTGGTGGTGCAGGGGTGTCATCAAATTTTTCTGAGTCCTGGAACACTCGCTTTGCTCTAGGCACATATACTTGTTGATCTGGACGACGGACTCTGGGCCTGAAAAATTAATTTACAATGAACAATGTCAAATAGCAATAGTAAGAAAAAGAAGAAGATATTTAAACAGAAAATAAAAGTACCTTGCAGATTTAACTGCATTCTTGGCTGGAGGTTCATCTGAGTGGAGGTCTGGAGCTGGAGAAATGACCTTAGACGAATCGTCTGTTGATCTTCGAGCAGCTGGAGGTCTATAAATACCAATTGTTGGTAAAGAGGTTCTTGATTTGCGTTGCTGACTACTAGTCCTTTCAGTGTCACTAACAACCATCGTCAGGTCACTCGATAATGATGCTGTCCTTACGCTTCCTTGACGTTCATCATTTGATGCATCAACCCTACAAAAACGAATCAAAAAAAAAAAAAAAAAAAATTAGTTACAACAAATCAACATGGAAAGGAAAATAAATAACATGAGAACAGTTCATTTGTATACTTGATACTGCAACTGAAATTTAGATAGAAAAAAACAAGAAGGTTTCAACAAGTCACCATCTGGAAAATAGAAGCATGCAGCTAAGTCAACAAAATGGCTCACAAACATTGCACAGAATCAACATAGACTGAGCATAAAAACCACGTAAATCAATAAAAAAAAAATTTAAATCATAGAAATGTGGGCAAGATGTAAAAAAAAAAGAATGATAAGAATCTGATAATTGACAGCACAGTAGACTAATGAGGGCTCACAGCAAATGCTGGATTACCTGCTGCAATCAATCATAAGTTGATTGTTAATAGCTACAATAATACCTTTTTAACATTAGTTTTGCCAATGTCAGAATTAACTTGCCAGATTCTAGACTTTAGAGGTTGAATTATCACACAGAATGCCCAACAAATGGAAAATCTTGGACATTAATGAAAAGTTCAAGGACAGTCAGTGTCAGTGTTAAAAAACAAAGGAGGCAAAGCAATCTCATCTGTTACCTCAATTGGACAGATTTTGTGGTAAGACATAAAAAAGAGAATACAGAAGAAAATTTGAAGTTTGGTGTAATTGAATCAAAGTTGCACAATTTTTCACAGAACTATGTTATTGTTTTAACTTCCATACATTAATAAAATTTTGATATTGCCTTAGTTGTTTGGTTGCTAAATATTAAAGGAGGTGTTCAAAGAGAAGCAAGCCTATCAAAAGCATACATGGATAAAGCATCACAAAGTGATATCGATACAATAGACATTGCGGAAACATGACCTTCACAACTTTTTTTTATCCCAGCATATGGTGAACACCCCACACCACTCAAGACTAGATGCAAAATTTTAAAGAAAAAAGATTCAAGGGTTGTTAAAAAAAAAAAAAAATCTTACCTGGCGACAAGATCCTTAGTACACACCACAATCCTCCTGTCAGGATCCTCGCCAATTGAAAATGTCCTCAGCTGATCAAAACTGTCCTGAGCCAGCTGATGTATGAGAAATCTATAAAAACTGTTCACAGGTGGAAACACGAGAACGCTGTAAAATGGACAGAAAACCAAATGTAAAGCGTGCGCCCATGTGCCTCAGCGCGAGGGGCCGGCAATGTGACATAATGGTTATGCTGGAATTACTTTCACTCGTGAACTTGACAGAGCGGCCGAGCACCCTACTGGTCCCGTTCCCGTTCCCTGCGCGTCACACAAAGCAGCAGCACGCGCTAACTTGTCAAGCAGGCGTCAAAACACGGCTCGCGAACAACACAACGGGCCGCGTGACTTTGGCAGCCAAAGGAACCAACCCTGCTTAAAACTCGCCGAATTTGGGTCCTGGCTGAAAGGCCTGGCGCTGCCAAGCGAACGACGCAGGGTCAACCCAACCTCTGCGCGGACCAAAACAAGGGCCACGGGCGGCGTGCTGGCGCCTTATCTCGCAAAAAACTTGCGATAAACACAGCCTCGACTACTTGCCTGTGAGCTGACGACGTTTCCAGAAAGATATTTAAGTCAGACTTCACTTGATCAACAAAATCTGCTTCGCTCGCGGGACAGCTGAACGCCATGACACACTACCGATCTATTTTTCTTTGTTTTTGTTCTTTTTGCATCACTGACCCATGACGTCACGGTTACGAAATAACAAACGAAAGGAGGGCAGCCATTGTGGCGGTAACCCACTTGCGTTTCAAAACGGCACGCGTGAGCGACGCCGTGCGCGCGCCTCGTCTCGCGTGTGGAATCGGACAAGACTGTTTCGCTGAGGGGCACTCGAAACGATCTAGGACAGACTCTCGTTCGACGAGTGCACCCTTTCGATTGTTGGCCAGGCCTCGCTTGCTGATGCAAGTGTTTGGCGCTGCTTGGCGGTAGACAAGCGGGATCTTAGATTGGCGTTCTTCCGGCTTGCTCTGTTTTTGCAGTTGTTTTTAGCAAAGGTTTCCGTTAGGTTGAACCAGAGGAAAATAAATGTAAAGTAGTAACCGTTTGTCTATTAAATTGGTGAATTGACGCTGTAACTAAAATGTGAAATTGTCGTTTGTTCGTTACTGCTCGACCGCTCCAATCTCGTTCACAAGTGATCTTCCGTTAAATTTTTTTAATTGGGGGACTCTAGTTGATCAGACACCCGGGCGAGTTATCGGTCGAAGATATCCCACGCTAGGCAGGCCAGGCAGGCTGCGCGGGGTATCGGCGACCCGCGAACTCCCCCGAGGACGACCGGAACAATACTCTGCCATTAAAGTTCCGCCCCGAGTGTGTTGCACTTGTTGCACTTGTTGCGAGCGCGCGGTACTCGATGCACTTGTTGCGGCACTGTCAGTCCTCTCTTGGCTCTCGCAGCAGGCTGGCGGCAGGCTGGCGGCAGGCTTGCAGCAAGCGTCCAAGGGCCTCTTGACGCCGCTTGCACCGCCGAGTCCTCGCCGGGGCGCGTCTGCCGGTAATCCTTTAGCTCCCCGCCGCGCCGCCCCACAGGGATCCAAGGGATCCACACCCTTCGAAGGAGTCCCCCATCGCGGAGGGCACGGCACACACACACACACACAAACAAACACACTCGGATCGCACACTCCCGACGCACTCACACACGGAGTGGCACACACGCGGCGCCCAGTGCTCTACGCGACGACAACAACCACCGACTGCCGGCCATGGATGAGGCTGGCGCGCGCTGAGCTCGGCATGGCAGTGGCGTGGCGGCGTGGCCTTCCCTCCCCTCCCCTCCTTTCCTGCAGCCTGCTTGGCCTGCAGCCTGCAGCCTCCCTGGCTGGCCGCACTGCCAGGCTTCCTCCTCCCTTCTCTTCCGCCTTATGCAAGCCCATGCAACGAGTCCGGACGGCATTGCTGGTGCCGTGCCGCCGTGCCGGCAGGTAGCCCCCTCCACGAGGGCCCGTGAGGCCACCACGGCCCGTGATGCAACACACTGTAAGCCAAGCCGGTTGCCTGGCCTACATTTCGGCCCCGCGGCCCGCGTCGTGAGGTGGAGGTGGCGGAGGGGCGGGGGTATCGCCGGCCTGGATTGGCCTGGATCCGCTGCCTGCCGGACTGCCGTGCCGGCCTGCCGGAATGGAACAGGGAACGACTCGGCAGACGCGGACTCGCGGACGGAAGGCGCGGTCCGCGGTCTAGACTGGAAGGCGGGCCGGGGCAGGGCCCGGCCTGGAATGGCAGCGAGCTAGGCGCAGCGCGGCGCAGCGCGGCGCAGCTAGCCGCGGATTACGGCCGGAAACGGCCGGAGCAGCCAGACGGACGACGGGCGACGGATACGGCGGGCCCGTGTGCTTGTTGTGTTGGTTGTGTTGTCTTCGCCGGCTCCGCTTTGCTCTCAGCACAGTGGGCCCGAAGACCGGCGGAGGCGGCCAAAATTCTAGATGTGTTTTGAAAAGAACCAGAGCGGAAGTCAGGAATAATATGACAGCCTGTGACGGTTTCTAGGGGTGGCGGATTGGGACGGGACCTATGTCCATGGTGTGAGGAGCCAGGTAGCGTGTGAACTTCCACTTCGCGGCGCAAATTAATTGTCTCCAGTCACAGCAATGTGAAAATGGACACAAATACGTGCAGGCCAGTGTCGTGCGGGAAATAGTTGGAGTTCGCAGCGCAGCGGAGAGTAGGCAGCGGTTTCCGTTTTCGGATGGTTTGCGGAAAGAAAGAAATTGGATGAGGATGAAAGATGGTTCAAATATTTACGTCGCCACACTGCAAACTCGACTGTGTATGCCATTCGCTGACACTTTCAAAAGGCGCGCATGCCAAGTGCGCACCCCCGCAGCGACGACCATGCGTGTTCCTTCGCTGGTCCAGGAAGAGGCGCCACATGTCCCGGCCAAATCCTGCGACAGGACTCTCGACAACGTCGAGGCCGTTTTGCAGTGTGGTCCCCTGGTCCCGTGCCGATGCCGCCGCACGCCGCCGCTTCCGAGTGAGAGAGACGGCGCGACGACGGCGACGCATGCGCGCGGCCACGCTAGGCCACGGCAGCAGGGGCAGGCCGCAGGCCGCCGGACAGGAAGTGGGCTCCAAGAGGCACGAAGTGCCACCAAGTGGCTCGCTACCGTAACATACGCAAACACGTATAACATAGTGACATAACAACATAGCCGCATGGCGGGCATGGCGGGCATGGCGGGCATGGCCGGCGCTGCGGCATTCCAGCGCGACGTCGTTATCACGTTCGGCGAGGAGGCGAGGCAGTCCGGCCCGGCGAGGCCGCGAAGCCGCGAAGCCCGGCCAGTCCGTTCCCTTGGGATTCACGGCCGCGCGACTCCCACACTGCGAGGCTGCAAGCAGCTGCAAGGCCCGCAGACTCCCGCAGCCTCCCGGAGCGGCGAGCGGAGCGGAGCCTCCACTGGAGGGAAGTGCCTACACTGTAAAAACTTCCGTACTTTTGTACGGAAATGGTACAGAAAAATATAGTACGCAGGTACGGAGAAAAGTACGGAACGTTCCGTACTTGCTCCATATGAACCCATGTAAATGGGTACGGAAAAAAGGTACGGAACGTTCCGTAGTTGGCAAGTACAGACGGTCCAGGCAAATTATTGACCAGACATGTTCCGTACTTTTTCCGTACTTTTTTCTCACAGTGTAAACGGGGCGCGCGTTTGTTCCGCGATACCGCGATAACGTGCCGGGGAAGCAGCGACAGCATTACGACTGCCTTCTGCCGGAGTGTCCGCCCGTCCGCCCGCCCCACAGTGGGCCAGAAGACCGGCCGGCGGAGGCGGCAAAAACTCTAGACGCGTTTTGAGCTGCGAAGTAGCGAAATAGGACGCCAACCGAACGTATAACCCCACCAATGAATTCCTCATTCGGAGAGCAATCCATTGGCGGGGTCACACGTTCGGTTCGAGTCCCATTTAGCGACTCTGGAGCTCAAAACGCGTCCGGGATTTTGAGCGCCTCCACCGGTCTTCTGGCCCACTGTGCGTCTGCCTGCCTGCCTTCCTCTTCGCCAAGCTGCTTTTCTTCCCCATTTTCCAGCGTGCTTATCCACGATGAAAGTCCGCCCTGATACAGACGGGGCGGCGGCTCCCAAGCTCGTTACTTTCCTAACCTTGGATGTTTCGTGACACATTTAGGCGCGGGGCTACTGCCAAGGTTTTCTTCCTCTCCCTCTTGTTCGGGGGGGGGGGGGAAGAGCGTCAGATTGTCAACGCGGCCCAGAGTCGCGCGCAGGGCGCAGACACACCCCGCCTGGCTCACGTATTATTCAGCGTGCAGCATCGCAGCGGGCATGATGAGTGAGTGTATGCCTGGCCGTTATCCTGGTCGCCCTCGGTCCCAGTAGGTTCCAGTGGCGTGGCGGTGATCGACGAGGACGCATCGGCACGTTACTTTCGCTCCGACCAGGTGTCACGCGGTGTCACGAGGTGTCACGCGGTGTCACGAGGTGTCACGCATCGGCTCCATTACTTTCGACTGTGGTTATGCGGGGCGAAGTCTGGAGGTGCCCTTCAACCTTTCCAGTGCACGGCGCGGCACGGCGCTACCCGGCACAACAACATGTCGTGCCGGCCGTTGACACGCGGAGTTTTCCTGGAAAGGAAAACAGTGGGGAGAGCAGCACGTTCCTTGAAATACACGCACCCATCACAACTTTGTCACATTTCGTTGATGGCACGCCGAAAAAAATATCGGATACTGCCTCTACTCTACTGGAGCGCGCGCGCGGCAGAGCGCGGCGGAGCGTACATCAGCAAGTCAAGTCGGTGACGAAAATACTGGTCATGCAGATGGACGGGGGCTGCCGGGCGCTGCCCTTGAATTTCCCTCGGGTTTCCCCGGAACGTCGCGTCACGCTGGAGGGCAAGACGGCTGGAGGCAAGACGGCTGGACGCGGCGGCTGGCGGCGCTCCAGCTCCACGCCGCGCTGCGGGGCCGCGGGGCGTAAGTCTCGGCTCGGCCCGCTCGACTTGAGAGGCTTTTGTTGACTCGTCCAGCCCGGCGCTCGCGGCGGGGTGGGGCGGCCCTGGGTGGGTGCCCTCACTGCCGTCCGCGCGGGGCGGGGCGGGGCGGGCCCAAGGTCGCGGCGGCACGGCCGTACGGCCGGTACACAGGTCGACGTGCTCGCGGTGGAGCCATGCGCTGCCCGTGAACGCAGACACCACCACGAACCACCGAGAGGACAACCATTCGTCGAGTATGGCTTCCCAATTAACACTTGCGAAAGCGCCCTGAACGAGTCGATGACTTTTGTCTCCACGCTGTGCACCACTTCCATGAGTCGATTTCATTATCCAGTTTCACTTTCCAGAACAACTCCGGAGAAGTTCGTCGGTAAGCAGATGTAACTGGCGTCGGAGAGCGCAGCTGCGTCTTCCCCAGCGCCTCGCTCCGCCCCGCTCCCCCCCGCTCCGCCCCGCTCCGCCCCGCTCCGCCCCGCTCCGCCCCGCTCCGCCCCGCCCCGCCCCGCCCCGCCCCGCTCCGCCCCGCTCCGCCCCCTCCGCCCCGCTCCGCCCCGCTCCGCCCCGCTCCGCCCCGCTCCGCCCCGCTCCGCCCCGCTCCCCCCCGCTCCGCCCCGCTCCGCCCCGCTCCGCCCGCTCCGCCCCCCCCCCCGCTCCGCCCCGCTCCGCCCCGCTCCCCCCCGCTCCGCCCCCCCGCCCGCCCGCCCCGCTCCGCCCCGCTCCCCCCCGCTCCCCCCCGCCCCGCCCCGCCCCCCCCCCGCTCCGCCCCGCTCCGCCCCCCCCGCCCCGCTCCGCCCCGCTCCGCCCCGCCCCCCGCCCCGCTCCGCCCCGCTCCCCCCCGCCCCCCCCTCCGCCCCGCTCCGCCCCGCCCCCCGCCCCGCTCCGCCCCGCCCCGCCCGCTCCGCCCCGCTCCCCCCCGCTCCGCCCCGCTCCGCCCCGCCCCCCCCCGCCCCGCCCCGCCCCGCCCCGCTCCGCCCCGCTCCCCCCCCCGCCCCCCCCCCCGCTCCCCCCCGCTCCCCCCCGCTCCGCCCGCTCCGCCCCGCTCCGCCCCGTCCGCCCCCCCCGCCCCGCCCCCCCCCGCCCCGCCCCCCCCCCGCTCCCCCCCGCTCCGCCCCGCTCCGCCCCGCTCCCCCCCGCTCCGCCCCGCTCCCCCCCGCTCCGCCCCCCCCCTCCGCCCCGCTCCCCCCCCGCTCCCCCCCGCTCCCCCCCCGCTCCGCCCCGCTCCGCCCCGCTCCGCCCCGCTCCCCCCCGCTCCCCCCCGCTCCGCCCCGCTCCGCCCCGCTCCGCCCCGCTCCGCCCCGC